CACAGAATGTTAGACAACCTTCATATTCTTGCCTTTCTATAGTATTTCTATTTTGTACTGCCAGAGGTGCTTCTGCTTCTGATAAGGCCAATCTTTTATCACAGTCCATCCACATGTTCATCACTTTTCTCACTACTCTAACTTTTGGTAATGATGATCACCCTCCCAATCAAGTACCTGTATCTTCAATTCAGATAAGAACTAATTCACGCAGTTCATTAACCATCCTTCCAAACAAGTATTTCACAAGTTGAGTATAAGGATGTTGTTGGTATTGACTAAATTGGAGATACAAAGATATTGGTGCTGCCTGTCTTGAAGGACTTACTTGCGCAATCTTTATAGCTGCAGTCTTCTGTAATACCGTTATTACACGTAGTGTCTACCTTCCACATTTGGGTCTCTTTCCGAGAATTCCTAGTCCAGAATCATACTTGCACTTGGACTTAGTTATAGGGCTTCGCATTCAATTATAGCCTCCTAAGATTACAGAGACAAATTAAATAATTTGCCTCCAGTCTGATTTGAACCGTCGATCTTGTCTGTGGGAGTTTGAGAGCTTAACTGCTAAGCTATGGGATTCAAACCCATCCAGTTCGATCTATTGAACCAAAAAGTATTGGATATTGAATATGTATAATTTTTTTTTTTAAAATGTTAAGGTGACTACTTACAGATTTGGCAGTTTAATAAACTTTTAGATTGATACTAGCACAGTTTTACGGACTGCACCTGATCTTATTATATTAATGAAAGTACATTCTAACCATATCTGCATCTTTTGAGTATCTGATTTAAGTAGTTTATCTATTACTAGATTCTATACTAGATGCTATACCTGTAATCCACTATTATTTGAGTTACTCAATTAAACTCTCTGATTAACTTCACGCTATCAGATATTTTGCCTAAAGAGAAACCTGCTGTTAAGGCCTGCTAAGTTTTTAAAGCAGACATACACTTCTATATAGAAGGTCTTTTAATCTTGTAATAAACCTACTAGAGCAGTTCATGTTCTATATATATATCATTTAGGTTTTTGGTAACTTATGTTAAGTCTGAAGACAAGTACTTGTGAGCTGAAGCTGTTACCATTATCTACTTTATACCCTTACAAAGTTTGCTCAAATTCCAGTACATACTTAGCAACCTATACTTCTGATTTCCCAAACTAAGCCTACTTTCAGTTTTCCAAACTTTCAATCTAGATAGCCTGAAAAGGCTGTGATCTGCTTCTGATACCTATGATTAGATTCTTTTCTTCTAGTTACTCATTCGGTGGTCTGGTTGGTAAAATGCCTTGCCAAATACTTCGGTTCTGTTTGGGTTCTTCTTTTTTGTTATTTGGTTTACTTTTTTTAGATTATTAGATAATACTGTATTATCAAAAATCTGTGCTACCTCTGTTCAGATCTTGCCTAAGCAGGCTTCTGTATCCAATCTACTAGTTTTACACAGCAGCTTCATTGTTATGCAACTCATATATTACACAGTATTTCCACTGCCTCTCAGTACAACAGTACTAGTATAATTTCATTACAGATGCTAACTTAATAGAATACAATCTTCCAAATACATTCCGTAAATTCAAATTTTGTCAACAGTGGAATTTAAACTCTTGTCCTGCTGCTTGGGGATGCAACAACTTACCAACTACACTAAGTCACCACACTCTTGAATATATATAATATGTGATAAATACTTTACAAAAATTTAATAATTTTAAGATATACAATTATTTGCAAATAATAAATAATAATTAGCACATTACAATATAATAAAATACAAAATTTCAAAAAAACTACACCATATACAGTTTTGTAATTATCTTATAATTCTGTAATCTGATTTTAACATTTTTGATACCATTCAAACCATCTTATTAAGACAAATCAAATGACATCAAAATCATCAAATTTAAACTATTAATTAGTAAGATAATTAAATATTTTTAAATGTAATTATATTATCCAGTAATCCAATTTTAATGATTTTGATACCATTCGATTCGCTTGATAAGATGGTTTGAATAATATCAAAATTGAATCACTGGATCACAAAATATTATTAATTTTGTTATTTTTAAAATTTTGCAGATCTTTACTATATATGTTTCTTTACTTAAATTATGGATGACCCCTTATCAATTTTAAATTTTATAATAAATGACAAAGACCATGATCTTACCATTAACATTCAAAAAAAAAATTTATAATAAATTTAAATTTTCATAATACAAATAATAAACTATTTAGCAATTTAGATTTTATTCTATATTATTTTCATTTTATTTTTTACTAAAATTTTTGATTGGTCCGAAGCAAATTTCTGAGATTGTTATGTATAACATTTAGAATAATTCGTAATATATTATACATATCATTAATTTATCGTGTTTTCAAAACCAATTATCAAATTTAATATCAGTAGGTTGGAATAGTTTTAAAAAGTATCAGGACATCACTGTCATATTTACATTAAAATCTAAAAAACATCGCATTACCATAAAGGACTCTTGGTATGCCCTTTGATTCATTCCACTAGTTTATTTAATTACATATTTACATTGAAATTTTGAGTGAACAGATCATAATTGACGTGTTGGAGTAAAGCTGGTTAGCCGCTGATGAAAATAGTCAATTATATCTTGTCTTAGAATGTGAAGTTTGTCGTGGATTGACATGTTGTTAAGTCCTATATTAAAAATGTCAATTTATGTTTGAATGTATAAAAGTTATAAATAAGGATTGCCATTTAAACAAACCTGGAACTTGTATGCATTTTCCAGAGTCTTTTTTCACTCCCTTCTTGGACCAGTAAACATGGTTTTCAGGAAGGATTACGAGTGAATTCTAAAATTACAATATTCTTAGTTATCGTAATGAACTTGGTCACTTAAATAAATGAAAAAAACTTACATCAAAATACCAGTTTACTATATCTCCTTTTTTAGAGATTGTTGGAACAGAATCATTGTTTCCCGGTACCATTATTACGCAGGCCGTGTATCGCATAATCAATGAGTCTGTAGAACACAAAAGTCACTAATCAATCATTAATTAATTGCAATAAAACAAAATATAACTTACCTCGATCATTTATACACTGCATTAAACTTTTGCATCCTCTTCCTGCACCAATTATAACAACTTTTTTAGGATTTGCGCAGCTGCACGTAAACATTTATGAATGTGCTGTCTGTAACTTGATGAACATAATAGTAAATTATTTTTAAGCTTACTCCACAAAATGATCCCATAAAAAAATCAACAAGTCCTTTAAATCATGAACATCCGTTTTTTGCGTATCCTATAAATATTTGTCAAAACCTATTAGTGTACAGGACAATCAAAAGGTATAATATATTGATAAACTTACATTAGTTGCTGGAGGAACGTCAACATCAACAATGCCGTAGCTTTGGTTTATTATTGTTTCTATATATTGATATACTGAATCACTCTAAGGAAATCAAATAATTACTAGGAATTTATCGTTCGATATATGATAAAAAATACATTTGAATAAACGATTGGTAAACGGACCATATATGATGTCGCGAGATTGGTTAAATTTGAAGTGGCACATGTGTCAGCTCTAAGAAATTAGATCAATATATTAAATAGCTATAGTAATAATAAACAAGCAAAGTTCTGAAGCGTACCTGTAGTCCGCCCTAAATGATGAGTAATAAAGTATAATTATATACATTTAATGAGATCAGAATGGAAAAATCAATTAAAATTGAATTTACGTATTCGCTTACATATCATGTACAAAGAAAATTATTACATCTTTGCAATGCAGGTCATTACTAAATAACAAAATTTGTATAATTATACAAAAGCTTGATAATTTTACACCAAAGAATAAATAAGCTACGATATCTTGCCTACAACAAACTAGGTCTGTAAATCGATTGGCTAATCGCTCTGGGGCTAATGGAGCCGGCACCATCTTAAGCTTCGAAAATAAGTATCTTGTTCGAAATAACTTCACCATGTCTTTATGTAAAGGATACAACTTGGAATTTTATAAAATATAACGCATATTACAACACAACTTCTAGTCTTACCCATTATATCAATGACCAATTTTCCTGGTACTTTTTCTGCAATAAAAATAAACAAAAATCGTCAAGTCTAAATTCGACAGTAATGACTAAACATTATATCACCAAATGATAATATTCATGGAAATTTCAAATGGGAATAATAACATGGAGTACACAACACCATTAGATTATCTAAGTGGTTTGACACTAACATCGATATCATTGAAATTCGTAATTCGTTCGCGCAGTATTCATATAATCAATATATAAATGAACAATCACGTTACCTTCTGTAGAATCTATATATACTGGTTTAAGGCAAGACCAATATCGTGATTGAACGCGTATGACTTGATAAATAGTCTCCACACATTCTTGACTAGGCTTTATAGGTCCTAATTTAGCTGGATGTTCCCCAAGCAGAACTTTGACGCATGCCAAAGCAGAATTTGATATAGAATCCAAATTATATCCACCCTTAGATGATCAAAAAAAAAAAAACTATAATATTCGAAAATTAAATATAAAATGTAAAAATATATTTTTATTATACTCTACCTCCAGAGCCAAAACCAATTTTCCGGATGCCAACGATTTCAACATGTGTGTCATGTGTCCAAAAGCGGCTGGTGTCACGTGATTTTCACCAATTGGATCACCTGTTCAAATAATTATAGGTTATGATTTAAGTTTATAATGATAAAACTATAATTTCAATACCTTCTGCTGCATCAAATCCGGCAGAAACTATCACGATATCTGGATCGAATTCATAAGCAATTGGCATTACAACTTTATTAAATGCATATATGTAATCGCTATCACGCATTCCTGGGCGAGGCCATGGTATATTTATTGTTCTGATTTCATCATTGCAATCAAAGAAAATATCAAATCAGGATCGTGTTGCATATCGAAAACCCAACAGACCGTTTAAACAAAGTACTTACTTTCCTTTGGCTTGTCCGCCTCCGACATATGTATGACCTGCTTGTGGATCTCCAGGATAGAAATTCGCATTGTCATAGCGATGTATCGAGCAATATACCACATTAGGATCGTTATAAAAGGCTTTTTGAGTACCATTACCTAAACGAATAGCAAATATAAATCATTAAACAGTTTATTATAAAATATTTACCAAAGAAAATAATCATATATACCATGATGAATATCCCTTCATCAAATTCAAGATATATTAGATGTAATTTACAGTAAAAATTAATCATATATATAACCAAATATACATGAGATTAGCAATCGAAAAGCCAGTTAATCATACCAGTCAAGAATAAACACTTTTTCTATCTTTAAATCTCTTTTTAAGCATTGGGCAGCAACAGCAACATTGTTGAAAAAACAAAATCCCATAGGTTCATTTATTTCCGCGTGATGTCCTGGTGGCCTTACATTTGCAAAACCATTGGTCACGTCCCCCTTCGCCACAGCTTTACATAGTTCAATTACTCCACCGCAAGAAAGTCGCGCACTTAATGCTGTTTCTTTATTTACATAAATCGAATTATAATCATCAGCAACTTTACCCAATTGAGCCTCGGACAATCCTATAATAAAAGATACATAAGGAAATCATGAATTAGGCTATGATTTATTCATATACATACATATCATAAAATTATCCTACAAAATTCAATTTATATTTGATAATGATACAAATCCTTCTTACCCGCTGTTTTTGCTACAAAATCCCAATGCTCATCGGTATGCACAAGACGGACTTCGTCCCTTGTAACTTCACGGGCACTTATGGGAACCATCTTTTCAAGACATCCAGCTGCCTTAAACGTGTTTTGAATCGAACTAATCCTGCTAGGGTCTTCTGGGTGATGCTCGTCCTCGTGAATATTAGCATGGTATCTCATTCTTCTATCATATACTACGCCTGTTTTGGTCGACTTTAAGGGAATCGGTGCTGGCTTAGAAATATAGCGACCATTTGTGTATATAGGCCTATTTCCAACAGTTATAGGCAAGTTTCCGGTTTCTATAAGTACATAAGGTTGAGCTTCAGTTCCGTCTATTTCCATATCTTCCATAGTTTTATTGTTCAGTAAATATTTTTAGAGTTTATTATTTAACAACGTTAGATCAAAATACAAGTTAATAGTTCTGTAGTTAGTAACAAAACTAAAGAACAATACTGCAATATATTTATGATCATTTTATTTTTTAATTTTCTGATCTTTAAAAATTTATAGTTACACAAAATAGTTACAGCTAAAGTTACTATATATAGTAATTTGCTTTTCCTATTACCTTACTAAGATTAATACTAAATATCATGTTGTATTTGTTATTATATACTTTATATATATATTTTTTTTAATCTTTAAAGGTGAGGCCATGTCTTTATTTTTATTGAAATTCAATTTAAATTTATAAAAAAAATATATTATTTGAACTTTATATTCAAAGAATATTAAGTATTTAGCATATTTAAAAATTTTGTATATCAAGTGGCATGCTATTTGTTTAAATTTATATCAGAATACTACTTTGGCATGTCACTAATATTTAGCAAATTATATATATATATATTTTTTTGCTTCAGCAATCCTTTTTTTATTATTTTAATTAGTGTAAGATACAACATATATACATTTGTATACTAGAGACTAATCTATATCATAAACTTACTTATGCCTATACTAATAAAAATTACTTGATTTGTAAAAACAGTATCTATTGTATTACTAGATTCTGCTAAGAAAAATCCAGGTGCAACCTGCCTAGATAATTATTTTTTTTATTCAGAATTCCTAATTTACTAAGAATTTAAACTTCAGGAGTCTACAAAAGATGTTACTGACCCTATCAAAATTATTGCCTTATATAAAATATTACTAATTTAATAAAACATTTTCTAACAAAAAATTCAAAAAGCAAAATATAATAAGGAAAAATTTAAAAAGAGTGATATTTCAAAACAAACCAAATAAAAAATAAACTAATAAAAAGAATCTAAAGTATTAATATAAAACTAAAAAATCTATTTAACAAATTAGTACTTACTAACCAAAATACTAATCTATATGATTATAGTAAATTTATATAGAACTCAACTAATATAAAAAAAAACCAAACTAATTGTACTTTGGTTTGTGCAAAAGCATAAAAATTATATATATATAACTTTGTCATTTAAATTGCATATTTTAATTTTTTTTATCACTTAACTTTAAATCTATATTTCATTTCAAAATATAACAAATTATAAACTTTATGTATTCTCACTATCTTTATTTATTTACTTGATATATAAGTATTACTGCTTTAATTTTTAATTATACAAAGCAACATTTCTAAATAGAAATAAATTCTCATGTTATCATATGTTTGTTGTAGTTATATCACAAAGTTATCAAATATAGAAGTGATAAACAATGTTAATTATTTAATAAAAGGTAGTCAAATCTTTTACTTTTTATCGAAAATTAGTTTTAAGAATATTAAAGTAGCAAAAAAAAAATTATGATCTTGTAAGTTTTAAGGATAGAGTATAGGTCGATCATTTATCATATGATCTCCGTGGTACAACGAGATTTTATGCATAAAGTAAAATACGTCACTAGTAAAAATTCTCAAAGCCACGGCTAAATTTTACCAAAATTTGGTAA